TAGACACCCCCAGTTGCTGCTTGCCCTGCCAGCAGAGAAGAAAAGATTTAGAAGAATCATAGAATCGTAGAATTGTAGAGTTGGAAGGGACCATGAGGGTCATCTAGTCCACCCCTGCAATACAGGAAGACACAGGTGGCCCTTAAGGGGATTGAACCTGCAACCTTGGTGTTATCAGCACCACACTCTATGTAGATTAGCCTTCCTGGATTGCAGAGGAAGCATCTTGAACTTGTAGAAACAGTTCAAAATAGGGAGGGGTTCCACCACAGATGCAAGGATGCTGTAAAGATTTGCATTCTTATACAATATATCACAATTACTCCTTTGAGAAAAGAGGGTACATTCTGGAAAGCTTTAAAATAAAGCCTTCTTTAAAATCCATCTTCTAGTTACGTTTCAGAGTAAGACATGAATTTGCCTTTTATACGGCTTGTTGGCCATGGCGTCTGTAAAACTTTTTATGTTAACAATTGCTTTTTCCATTCTGCTTAGCTATTATTTTTCAGTTTTAAGAAAACATTTCCAGGAAGGCAGGGAAGAACAGTGTGTTGTGACTATCAGTCTTGCTGAGCTATTTGCAAATATCCATCACTATCAACTCAGTTAAAGCCATGATCTACATATTCCCAGGAGGAAGCTGCTTTTGAGCTGTCAATTCCACTTGGAACAGATGCTCTCATGCAAAATAAGCAGACACACAAACTATGACTGTTAAAACATAGGTTAGTTAGTAGATAATAGATTTAAAATGGGATATTGCAATATTTCGGTAAAGCAATGTGGAAAGAAAGGAGTAATTAATTTGCATTACATTTTTAACAATACATTGAAAGATCCTAGATGAAACTAGTAAGCATTTAGTCCTATGGATTCCCAAAAGTTATAAGGAACACATCTGAATGCTGCTGTATAAACATTATGATACATGTTTCACCAGAGAGAACAATAATATCCTGTAAAGAAGAAAGCTTTATAATGTTTATTTATGTTTTTCTCAGTGTAATATTATTTTGATGATTCAGACTCCCAAAAGGCTTTTTTTTTATAAATGCATGTGTATGTGCTTAAGTGAAAATACACATTGTCTAGAAAGACCATAATGTATCTCAAAGTGCCACTTAATTTTGCCAATACTACAAAGGTAGTATGCCTGATCTGCAATAAACAACATAGTATGCCAAGCATAATTCAGCATCATACGATTCTACAGCAAAGGCTTTGAAAACCTAATGCAGTGTGCCATACATGTGGGCTACATTCTTCACACGTTAAACATCATAAGAAAATACAGTATGCATGCACTTACACATAGCTCTGATGTAAGAATAAGCCATGTTGCTATTTTAAATGGCCTATTCTACATCAAAACAACAATGTCAGACTTCCAAGCTATGACTCTTCACAATTTTACTTCCATGTAGCTTCAGAGAAATCAACAGGGCTGCCCGGGAGTCTGGGATCTTAGCTGAAATCTACCGACTTATTTTAAAATGCCATGATCAAAACATGCATTTTTTTTAATCAAATCGTCTGCACAGATGGGGGACAACTGCATGTCTAGTTTATTATCAGGCAAATTTAATACGGCTGGATGCCTCCTGAAATATTTAAAATATATACACAGCCCTCTCTCCCACTTTGGTATTAGCAGTGTTAGCAGAAACATGCTGATGCTCAGTTAGCGTTACAGCTATATAGCACATTATATAGTTAACAAGGGATATGCTGGCCGTTAGCAAAACTGGACAAAGAGACTGTTTTCTGGTAATTGCTCAGAGGATGTTCCTTGCTGCAGATACAACCAAATGTGCCCTCTCTGAGAGCAGTCAGGACCTAAAGTCTAATTAAGACAAAGGTTTTTAATTAAACCCTGGATATGCTTTAGCAGGCTCCGGTGTGTGGCTGCCCTTGATTGTGCCACTTGAGGTGCTCTCCTTCAAGGGACAATGAAGCAAATGTTTTAAGACGGTAGGGGGAGATGCCTTGTGCCTCTGGCTCCTTCTATTTCTCCAGTGACAATGCTCTTTGCCCTGGTGTCATAATTAAAAAGTCTTCCTAAAGGAAGCTCTTTCTGCTTATTTCCAGTATATCCCAATTATTTTAACCTTAAAAGCCTTGCCTGCAATGAGACAGAATAGGGATACTTTGTTTTATGTAGAAGAAAAAAAGGCTAAGTTCTTAACAACAAAGGGCTATTGTGAATGTAGAACAAATCACACTATAGATTTAGGACCCAATCCATTACTCACCCAATGCAATGAGGGCCTTTTGCCAGCTTGTGCAGAGGATTTGTTTGTATCAAAGGACAAACATTTGTGCATATGCATGTCTGTGTAAACAGTGCACATTCTCATATTTCAGGAAAGCTTTCAAAGCTTGACTCTAAACCCAGATACAATTAAAGGAAAGGTCTTGCTTAAAATAGCCTCAGTAGTCATTCCCAGCAGCTTGTAAAACATGGAAAACTATTTTAAACAAACCAAAAAATAATAATCAGTAAAGCTTAGTCTATGACTTCATAGAATGGGAGAGCCTTGAAATTTCCTGAAGGAGCAGGAAGGCATTCAGGAAGACACAACAACAAATACCTGCTCTTCCCATTCATTTATTGTTCAAAAATGCAATTACAAGCCTTCGGCTCACATCCAACCCATTCCCCTCACTCACACTTCTATAGGAAAAATCTAAAAAGGGAGATGTCTGCCAGATGCAAATGGAGAGTGCTTAGCAGTCCTCTAATGCTGATCTGTGCACTATTTAACCTTCCTAATCCCTCATACTTTGGAAGGTAAGGAAATAAAGTAAAACCAGCTGAACTGAAACTTGGTCCCCCACTTCCCACCTCCACCCAATTCATCTGAAAAGTCTTTATGCAATCAAGGGATATCATTTTAGAAGACAGAGAAAGGGGCAAAAGGATTCCTGTTGCTAAGGAGACACATCAAGTCAAAGCTGACATTCCTACATAAATTTCAGGGGGTGGGAGGGGAGAAGAGATTTTTTTAAAATACAGCTCTGTTACAAAGTTTGTTTAGACTCCCTGGTAACAGCGCAAAGAAGCAATTCTTTTAAAAATCTAATCAAAATGATTTACTTTACATGACACAATTGACAGCAAACCTCACCCAACACCAAATCTTACTTGATGGAGTGATAAAAAGTACAAAATAAAAGAAAGGACCTCTGCTGCAGTTTTGAAGCAAAGATCTCCAAGAACATTTTTAAGAATTTTCAAAGAAACAAAGGCATGTAGCAAAATACACAGCAAGCAGTCAAACCAATAGGAAACCAATCTCTTATTGGACAATTTCTTAAAACACAAGGGTAATACATGATTCAAAACCAGATTTAGGGCTTAGTAAGTGAAGGCTACAGTTTAACTTGTAGATGTTTCCAATAGAGATTATAGAAGCAGCTGTGATACAGTGGAAAATAGAAGCAACTCTCACAAAAAGGATTTTTGCAGACTGAGCAAGCCACTTGATATGGGGATGGAGGGATGATTTTGAAACAATCTTGCTCATTTCAAGGGGCAATTTTTCCATTAGGGGGAGATATCATTTTGCTTACTGAAAGAAAAAATGAAACAGGATAAATGCCAATAAGGCCAACAAGATACGGTACATGGGGGAGGGGGGAAGAGGCTGAGAGACAAAGCTGCATATGTTGCCTAGTGAAAGTTCTCATCAGGGACAGAGGAGGAGGAGAGCACAGGAATAACAGAAAAGGGAAAGTGTCAGAATACAGTGACAGGAGAGTGTTGCTTCTTATGTTGGCTACAGATTCAATGAACTGAAAGCCACAACTTTTTTTGTCAGCTTCAGCTTGAGGACTGGGAACTGGGTATAGGGTAAAATACTGATTTGAAGTTAAAAACAACAGCAAGATAATCCACAAACCACCTTCACACCACAACATGCAGGATTGAGGCTCTTTTCATGAACGGAATACGCCAATTCATTAAAAACAACAAGAGGGTATCCCATGATGCAAATGCTGTGAAAAAGCTAGCCCTGTTTTCCAGCCCTTGCTGTATCCTGACTTCCAAGACAAGAGAAAAGGAGTGCATAATGCTGTATGTGTGTAGATGTAATACTTAACTGCCTGCTTCACAGACGCATCATTTAAAGCATATTGCTTCTCTGTCTACATGGGGCTATGAGGAGGAGGGACAGCTGGGGAAATAAGCAGGCAGACATAAAGAATAAATTCAGCATAAGCAAGAGGGAAAGGTAGAGGATTGGAACTTGGAATGGCAGACTTGAGACTGCAGCTCATGGGGTGCTGGGAAGGAAGGGCATTGGGGGCACGCATGATGGATTGATCACAACTAAAGCAGAATGTGGCATTTGGATTTGGGCAATGAGAAAGACTACTGGGGAGGATCTGAGATGAGGTGGGAGGAAAAAAGGAGTAGGTTCAAATTAGGATGCAGGGATGGGTGTGCTGTGGTGTGAAGTCAGGTGGGATAGAAAAGTGGTCAGGGATGGAGAGGCGGGTTGTGCTGGGTCCAGGTGGGCAGCAGGAGGCAATGTGAGGGCAATGAGCTATGCCCTACGTGGGTAACAACGGACTGCCGACTCCGGATGATGGGACAAAAGAGGCGTTTTGAGAAGGCGAGGCTACCGCTATGGAAGCAGAAGTGTTCAGGATAAGAAAAGGCGTTCTGTTAAGAGGTGGCGCTGATGGATCCTGGAGAGGAAAGAGGGGCAAAGCGGGGGCAGAGGAGAAGTCCGGTGCTGCGGAGGAAAAGGCTAACCTGAGCGGGGGGCGGGTAAGCTGCGGGGGGGGGGGGATGAGGGAAGGAGATGCTATTCTAGGGGCGGGATGGAGGGGGGAGCAGGGAGGACCCTCTCCGAAGAGATGTTGGGGGGCGCTGCTGCAATGGGTGGGGTCAGAGGGAGAGGCGCGGGACGGGGAGGGAACGGGGGGGGGATTTCAAGTCAAGAAGAAGGCAGGGAAAAGGTGCCGGGCAGGTGCCCCCCCCCCTCTCTCACCGCTGTTCAAGGTAGTTATGCAGCGCCAGGTCTCCGGGTTGTTGAGTTTCTCGCAGGACTCCCACAGGGAGAGGTAAGACTGGTGGTCGGCTGTCACCCAGGCCGGGCTCAGCACGGCTCCCAGATCCAGACACAGCGCCAGGAAGATGCACACCAGCCCCACCAGCTTGAGCGGGGTCAGCACCGAGACGCGCACCTCCTCCATGCCGCTGCCGGAGGAAGCCATGGGCGAGCGGGGAAGCGGGCGCCCCTCGGCTAGCAGCGCCGCCGCCGCCGCCGCCGCCCGAGCCAGGGGAGCGAGCGGACCTCGCTGCTGCTGCTGCTGCTGCTGCTGCTGTGGCTCCTGCCGCTCAGGTACGGACGAGGAAGGCGGGGAGGCGGCAGCTCCCTCCAGTCGCCACTTCTCGGCTCGCGCAGCCCGGCTCTCCCCAGCAGCACATCACTCCTCCCCTCTTCCCTCCCCCTGTCTGGGCAAGGGGCGGGAGGAGCTGCACGGGGGCCGGCGTGGAGCCGCGCCGCGCACGTCACTCGCAGGGCTCCCTCCAGGGAAAGAAGGCGGGAAAGGCTTTCGGCTGCCCCGGGCAGCGGCCAGCGCGCGCCCCTTTTCCCGCCCCAGCCCTTCCGCCGCGCATTCCTCGCCCTGTGGCGAGAGGAGGGGGCGGCGGCGGCGGGTGGGGCGGGTCGCTCGCTCTCTGCGGCCTTTGTGGCGTCCGAGAGGCTTTTCAGAAAAAACGAGCGCTTCGAAGCTTTTCTCTGGAGTTTTCTCCTCGGGCTCTAGCCCATGTCAACAAACGGTTTTCAGACGGGGAAAAAAAAAGTTTTTTTAAACTTAGGTTTTCTAGGGATGTGTGCCCGTTCTTCTTGGCCACCTGCCACCTTCAGCTGCCTCTTGTTAGTCCCCCGTTCGGCGCCCCTTGCTTTGCTTTTGACGCAAACTCCCCGCGGGGGCTGCAAAGGTCCAGGACAAATCGAATAGAAAGCGGAGGACTGGCAGCCGCAAGCAGCCGGGCGGCGGAGGGATTTCTGGAGTGATGGGTCGATGGAGACGTGGTCCCTTTGCTCCTCAAGTCTCTCTTCGAAACCTGCTCCCTGCTTCCTTTATTTAGTGCTGAATAAATATCAAATACGAGTGCTATAGAGCACTGTGTGGAGGGATAGTGGCATCTCATTCGCTACAGTGGGATGAATGGGGAGCAAAGCCCATGAATTGAAATGCCATGCCCGGATTGGAGGGCTTTTATTTATGGATGAAAATATAATAACTAGGCTGGTGTGACAGCGTTGCCTCTATAATGTCTTGAGACCAACCAACACCCCCTACAATACTGATAGTAACTTAATACAAAATGATACAATCAATAATGTAACGTTGGAATGGTAGGAGTAACTGGTAGCAGTGAATTCGAAGTTACAAAAGTAGCAAATGGTGTAAAAAATAAATAAAACGTCCACTCAGATATTTACATAGAGATTGGCAGGAAGCATTTCATGTGAAGTGACAGTGGTGAATTATAATGACATTAATTCTAATTGGGATCCTTTCTTTCTAGTCTTCATGCTATAATTTTATGCTGTTTTGATAAGTCTTTCAACAAATAAAGTCATTCATTTTATTTATATGCAGCATTTCCCACAAATAAGTTGGTTCCCAAAGCAATTCACAGAAAATAAGCAGTCTTTAAATGCAATGGTACAAGAAGAGCACAGAATAAAAACAATAATATCACCACAACATAACCCTAATAATTCCATAATTAACAGTTCACGTGAAATATATCAAAGAATATTCCACTGTAGACTGTTATCCCACCATTATTCCTAGCTAGATCCTTCCTTCCATTTACACTGCATAGGAGTGAGTGTTGTTGCTTATGTATCTCAAATGATATCACCTTTGAAAAAAAAAGGATGGTATGAGCCCACTTGGGGAAAGCCCAAGGTTTGTAGAAGAAGTCCAAAAAGTATTTATGTGGGGGGACATAAGGAGAGGAAACCCCAAAGGCACCCCGATGAGCACTGAGCATGCTCAGCAACCTTGGAATGCTGGCTTGACTTGGAGGGAAGAAATGGAAAACCATGTGGAATGGAATAGGCTAGAATATCTTGGGAGAGCAGAGTGCATGGCTGATACGTTGCAACAATGAACAGGAGCATTCCACACTGCAATGTTTTTTTCTTGGTACCACTCCTTTCCTCTGTTTCTAATGTTTAGGCCTGAGTGATGTTGCCTGTTTAGCCACAGGTAACTGATATGGGAAGCATCATCAACTTGCAGAAGACCAAGGTTTGCTGAAGCACAAAACATGTTTAGTGGGGTGGGAGCCCCATGAGCATGTTCAGTGGTTGTGGAATACTGACTGACTAATTAGCAAGGGAACAGAGAACTGAGGTTTGTCTGTGAATGACTAACTGGGACAGTAAACAGGAGCACTCTGCACTGCAACTTTTTTTTTTGCAGGTCCCACTTGTACTTGTCATTCTATTGTGGGTATTGCCATTCCTTTTCAAAATATAAAGAGAATCATTCCACCACAGGCAATTTCATTCAGGAATGAGGCCAGGGAAAGGCTGGCGCTGCAGCAAAAGGCTGCTGAACATGCCCCCACCGCGGCACCTGGTTGGGTGGCCACCGGGGGGGGGGGGGGCGTGAGCGCCAGCCAGGTGAGCTGGAGGCAGGGGGCAACGCCCCCTGCTGGGCGGTGCTCGGGCTCCCGCCCACAACCACTCCCCTCTCTTTCAGGGAGGAGAGTCTTTGTCTGTGAATGACTAACTGGGACAGTAAACAGGAGCACTCTGCACTGCAACTTTTTTTTTTGCAGGTCCCACTTGTACTTGTCATTCTATTGTGGGTATTGCCATTCCTTTTCAAAATATAAAGAGAATCATTCCACCACAGGCAATTTCATTCAGTCTAGATTTTTTTTTTTTTTAAAAGTTGCTTATTCCACACTAGAGTCCAGACAGCTTCGTTCCACATACATTGTACTCTAGACACCATCAATCTATCCTCATTTGCTATGCTTGTCGTGCCTTTTCATCATTCCTTCTTCTTTTTTTTAATATGCCCCAGAGGCCTCTGAATCCCTAGTAGACTTAAATCAATTTTCACAGTTTTGAAATCAATCCATTTTCCAGTTCACCCCCACACTTGTTCTCTCCCCCCACCCACTTCTCTTTTTAATTTGGCTGCATTCATTTCTCTAGCAATTTGTTCAGACAAAACCCAAAACCAAACACTTTCAGGAGTACGATTAAATCTGCAGTGCTTGTTTGGGAGTGATTCCAACTTGGCTGAGAGGCATGCTAGGTTTCATGTCATGTAAGCAATAAACACTTCACTGTGCAAACGGTTGCTTCCTTTGAATGTATGGCCCAGGCAGCCTTTTATAAGAGATTCTAACTCATCTTTTAAATGTGTGATTTGACCTTCACAACACCCCAGATCACATGCAAAGAAGAAATGTCTGCTAATCAAACTGCTCAGGCTTGGCTTGTCATAAACTCTGTATTTAGTGTTAGGTGAAAGAATCTTCCCCAAATATACTTGATCAGTGCTGTGTGGTTTCTTCTTTTTTATTATTTTAAAGGCTTGTCACAATCTGCTTCAGTTCTGATGAACCATTATTTCTAGGTCAATAATGAATCCTTTTGGGCAGGGGGGAGGAGAGCAAACATAAAGAATAGCAAAGAAAACAAGAGGCGAAGGAATGCGTTTGAAGCCAACAGTTTCCAGCTGTTAGTCTTGATTCAAATGTAATTATTTTCCAAAAGAACTAAAGAAGAGACACGAAATTATGTTTCTGGGTCAGGGTTTGCAATGATGTATGCAACTAATTCATTCTAAGGCACAAACATGCTGTAGCTGTTTTCTTCACCATGGTAATATATTTTCTTCACCGTGGTAATATATCACGAGAATGTATTCTGCACCACATTGCCTAGACATGTACCATATATTCGGGCAGACCTGGATTATTCAAGGCCAGGACAACAGGATCATCACCACTACCTTGGGACACATCAATGAAGCACTGTCACGCATTCCTAAAGTGTGCAGAAGAAATTGTATTCCTCACATCTGTATTTTTCCCTTTCCCTGGTGAGCTCATGAGAGTGTATGTAGAGTCTTTTTATTTTATCACCACAACTGTTCTGTGAAGTAAATTCCAAAGAAGGTAGCAAATGTTATGTTGCACCCAAAGCAGACAAAGGTCCTGTGGCACTTTAATGACTCACAAACAATATTCAAGTAGGGACATGAAATTTAGGGTCATAGTAGCCCCAACAGAGGGGATCAACCCTGCCAAATTTGAGATGGGTAGTTCCACAGGTTTTCATGTTAGCCACCTTTAAAGTTGACTTTGTCCCCACCTGTTTCTCTCTATCTTTTTTAAATACATTTTGAATCTGAATCATGCAATTGCAATTGTATAAATATTCCTTTTCTTCTTCCTCTGCATTCCTTTGCGTGTTGGTTGTCTGTAAATGGGCTGGGGATACATGATTAAGAGTTCCTGTCAAATTGTGTGTGCACTACTTCAAAAATGGTGTTGTCTGTTCTGCAAGTTGAACTAGTATATGGATCGGTGTTAACCTACAGAAAACTAATGCAATGGAAAAGAAAAGATCTGCTCATCTCTACATTGCAAACACTTAACCACATTGTTTCTCAGTACAGGCCACCTTGGGGTAAAACAGCCATTTATACTCAGGAATTACCCTGTACCGGTATTAAAAAATGTTACTTAAAAATTGAAGGTTGAAAGAAAGAAAATAAAGGCATTGGTTTATTTACTGTCTGGTAAAATTTCAATTAGTATGTTATAAGACATTGATCCATAAGCCTACCAGACTGCTGGGCTAATCTCAGCATTCATTCTACCTGATGGTAATTATTAATTACAACATGAAAATATAATTAGAAAATGAGGAAGGAATTATAAAATGATAAAAAATATTCTTGGGCCCAGCTATAATATAAACAATAATCCCAGGCTACACAGATGTCCACAGTAAAGGTTTAATGGTTATTCTGTTTTTTTGTTTTTTTAAAATATTTTTTATTGAGTTTCTTTTCTTAGGTTCATGAACACAGGATAACAATATGAAAGTGCAAGAAACAAATACAAAAAGAAATATTAGAGAACAAAAAAAGGTTCTTTCTATCCAACTTTCAATAGTTGTTGTTTTTTTTCAATATTCTAGGTGGACTTCCCCACATCCTCCCGACCCTGCGTTCTCTGCGATAAAAGTTTCAGCAATTTGTTACCTTGTTTCTTAACTTACTGTATCTTTCAGTTATTATGTTTCCGAATTCACAATCTCATATCCCAAACTTTGTACATTTAAAATTAACATAATAAAGTTGTTTCATATTACCACCTCTTTTTTCTTGTCTTAATTTTCAATTTACCTAATCAAGTTGCTAAAGCGAAAATTTCCTAATCGTGCATATTTCTTAACATTCGTACAACTTATAATGTTTTTGCAAATAGTCCTTAAATTTTTTCCAGTCCTCTTCCATTGTTTCCTCTCCCAGATCTCGGATTCTGCCAGTCATTTCAGCCAGTTGCATATAGTCCATCAACTGCGTCTGCCACTCCTCCAACGTAGGTAGATCTTGAGTCTTCCAGTGCTTTGCGAGAAGAATTCTTGCTGCTGTGGTAGCATACATAAACAAAGTTCTGTCCTTCTTTAACACCCTCTGGTCCACCATGCCCAGTAGGAAGGCCTCTGGTTTCTTAGGGAAGGTATACCTAAATACCTTTTTTAACTCATTGTGAATCATTTCCCAGTAGGCCTTCACTTTTGGGCAGGTCCACCATAGGTGAAAGAATGTCCCTTCTGCCTCCTTACATTTCCAACATTTATTATCAGACAGATGGTATATCTTAGCTAGCTTGACTGGGGTCATGTACCACCGGTATATCATTTTCATAATGTTTTCTTTCAAGGCATTACATGCCGTAAACTTCATAC